GAATAGCAGAGATTACTGCAGTTTGAACGGAGTAAGATAGCCTGTAAGCTGTACCACATGTCGGTAAGTTGACAAATGTATATTTCATCAGAGCGATGGACTGAGAAACAAAGCATTGCTGAAGTTGCCGAATTCAGCACGAGTGGAGCAGACCCAGATACCTTACCTACCTAGTCTGTACTCGGCTCGTACTTACCGTAACAATACAAGTTACTGAGCTAGCTACCTAGCTCAGGTACTGTGTACCTAGCTCGTATCAAGGTAAGTAATGTAGCAATAGACAAGTGCTCATGTACTTAGATAGCCCCGAATTTCTACAGTGGAATCTGAATGCTCCCAGGACGTGTATGGTTTTAATTATTTCTCTGGTGTAGAAGTTGATATGATAGAGACTGGATCTCTTGCAGAGGTAGCAGAAGGAAAGTCAGTACTATTACTACCTAGGTACATGCGAGAGTACCTACTTGTACAGAATATACAGGGTACTAAGTACTAACGCATCTAATGGGTAGTCGCCTAGTCTAGTACCTACCTTAGCCAGTACACAAGAGCAGGACCCCCGACCGGAGACGGCCTGTTGACTTGACTGAATTCGGATTTAACTGTGGAGACTCGAAGAAGAGTACTGGGAAGGGTAGACTTCTGCACTTGTGATTCGATAATTGAGGATTTGTGGGTATTAATTAAGGATTTTATCTAGGTCATCTGGTTGACTGGGCTCTTGTGGATAAAGTAGGTACAGAGGACCTTTCTTTCTTTCGCTGAAATTATTAGAAGAATAAAGAGAGGTATTCTTCTTGTAAATCACTTTCCTGGATTGTTTCTCTCGCTTTCCTTTCTCATTACCTTCCTTTCTGCTGCAGATTGCCGATACCTATTAAGGATATTTTATCTGCGCGGTAGACTTAGAGCGAGCAGATACCTTACTCTTAGCATTTCTTCTAGAACAGGGGGCGCTGCAGGGAGGAAATTTAGATACCAGATCATGAGGCAAGATGCGTCTTTAGCTCTTTCCAGGCTTCCTTAGCGTCCGCAACCGATCCGTTCCAAAGTTCTGCCTGCTGGCCCCCCCCAAAACCCCACCCTCACAAAATGGGCCCCAAGTCCCCAAGTCATCAAACATTGGTGAGGTAGTTCCATAGTCCGCACCCTCCGTCGCAAGGTACCTAGGTAACTCTGTACCGACTCATCAGTAAATATTTTGGTACAATGATAATGGACAGCAGTAAAGCAGCAACATTCCTCGTACTACAGATATACATTGTCATACATTTCATACATAGTAGGGTAGCGGAAATTACGGGGTAGATGTCGGAGAATAATATAACACCGATATGGACATGAATGATGACCACACACACCTAAGGTCCCCCGTATCGGAAAGGCAAATGACACAAGAAGAGAGAAATCTGAATAACAGATCTGAAGGTTCACAAACATAATCCACTGTGAACTGTGAGAAATGTTGTTTAATACCAACCATCTAAGATATTCATGACTTGTATTGACAGTCATACTTTCGCTTTGTACCATCACTGTTATCAATGAAATTAGCGCAAAATTACCCCAGCTTGGCATTCTGAGGACCTGCCATATTTGGAGATGTGGTCTTGGGTCTAACCACACCATACCTGAATAGGAATGGCCTGCTCTCATTTCCCCGGCTTTGAGAGGGAGTCAGTAAGACGCAAAGGCCGACGGATGCAGTTCCAATCCACACTTGGTGAGGAATCGTTTCCCAAGAGTCTGGGAGACTACTCAGGTCTTTTCTCTCGACCATTACGACTAACCCTCATCTTAGTGTCTGAGGTATGATGTTTAATGGCGGGTGTTCTCTGGTGAGGAAGGAGTGTGCCTGTTGTTATCCGTGAGGGTCCATAAAGATCCATAAGATAGCCTTGGAAAGATCTTAGTGGCCAGTGCAGGTGATAAGATAGTAGGCAACTTAACATCATATTCAACAAATCAGGAGTTAAGTACTTAGTCAGGATTGCAACCTGTCTCTCTAGAGTCCCAACTCATAACTTCGTGGTAGAGTACCTGTCCAGACTACTTTGGTAACTTTCCTACAGTCCTACAGGGTCCAGCTTCATCTAGGACGAATGCAGTTAACACTTGGGTCCAAGAAAGCTATTAGCCTATGAGGCATTTTTTTTCTTTCTTTTTTTTTTCTTTTTCTTTACCCCTTCATAGAGTATTCAATGAGCACTTCAAAATAACTCTCCTTTCACTACTGTTTTGTACCATTATTTATCATCAACACATACATTGATGCGAAAGACCTAAGTGCACATACACTGTATTATTTATTATTCAAGATATTGAGGTCGAAAATGATGGGGGCCAAAAACAGGCTTCATCCAGCTACCAATTTTTATTGGCTGGGTTCAGCTGTGTGTCTCAGATCAGACAAGGCGGCGTTGCCGGATTAGCCACAAGCCCACAACCCAAGGGCCTTCATTCAACTCTGTCGGCCATTCCCGTCCTCAAAGTTTTAAGAAATTTAAAAGGGGTCGGCAAGATGCGAAGGCTGTGGTAGATAATCGTGATGGAGTACATCATGGAGTACAGTACTGAGCTTACAAGCATGGATGCATGATGCGTATGTATGCCTCGTTGATGTGTACATTGAAGCAAATAGATAACGCCACGGGGGACTCGATCATCAGTTGATTGCCTGTTGTAGTAAATTTCTAGAATAATGCTTGCTCATTCTCCTACCCCTCCTCGCGCAGCTTTTCTGCAATCTGCAGTCAACCGTGTGCTGCTAGGCTGCAATCCGCTTTCTTATCTACCTCGTTGTACGCTGATCTCTATGATTCGATATCAGGCAGTTTATGTAACAACTGTGGTTGCCTGCCAAGAGAAATTAAGTATCCTAATAGAATAATAAGCCTTGCCTGAGAGTATCATCCATTATCTGCTGCTAAACGTCTCTCAACTCTCAAGTACTCGGTACAGTGGATATGGCCTTGATACCGAGTGGTACTATCACAAGCAAATTTGTTCAGTGGACCTAGGGACCATTGGTCAAGGAGGGGATTTAAACTTTGGTTTATTTCCTCCTTCATATAACGTTAACCGAAGCCATTATTGTCTGCATTATCCTGATTCGGAGTAACGTCTTGCCAGATTGCACACTTTTATTGAACCAATCATAGATAAAATCCAATTACTCTAAAATCATGCAGTCTTGCACCAGATAGCCATTCTCCCCTCTTACTAATTAATAATCCTTTAGACAGATTGATTTAGGGAGGAAGAAGGAAAGTCACGGTACTCTGTATGGTGGGTATTTCGTCTACACGTTCCTTGATACCGAGAACTCCGTACTAGTATCATGATGTCCTTCTGGACTACAACCTAGCCGATCTCTTAGCTCAGTGGAACTGAGGTGAAATTGAGAAACTTTCCGAGGATCTGCATGATTTTCTTTAGTCTGATACTAAGGAATTCAGTGGCTCGGTTGTCATCCATCGCCCGTCAACGATGGCGGCAGTCGAAGGATTGGTCCACTGAGCTGCTGCTGATCTGTCCAAATAACTCATGTGCTCTCCCCTCCTCTGTGTTTCAAGGGCCGTTCCAGGCATGCCATGACCTTGGTCAAGACTCCTCTGCTTAGTCCACATTGTCCCTGTGTGACAGCGGATTGCTTTCAATGATCCCAAAGGCCCCGCAAACGTCAAACAAGTCGCTACCGCATGGCCGCAAGCAGCCGGGTACATCTCAAATCATGACCAAGCCTGATTCTCCGAAAACAACATAGTTTCCATCTCCTTCGTGATTTAATCATCATTCTACTCGTCCATCATTGGACACCCCCGAAACATCTACAGTCCACAATGATTTCCTGTCCTTGATCTTGCAAAGATCAAGTCCCGGCTGGGGTGCCAGCTGTAAGGCGGGAAGTCTCGAACCGTCGAGAGCGCACGCCGGATTCAGCTGGGACTTCTGTCTGCCGGGCTTCCACTCCATGAAAGCCTCGACTTTTGTTCGTCAGGAACTATCCTGCGGCTCCGAGGACAACAGATGCCTCTTTTCAAAACATTGAACGGACGAAAAAAAGTAGGCCCTCGGGTGGAAAATAGCTTCCTCCTTTGAAGCTCAGCTTGAGCAATAATCCATTCTATCTCGTAGACACAGATCCATCGCGGTTCAGTCTGGGTTGAAGTTTTGCAAGTGACAGCCGGCTGGAGCTAGCATAGATAGACAAGGTCCTGTGCTAGACTTGATCCAGGAGGAGCTTTTCTGGGTGTCTTAGACTCGTTTGCAATGCAGCGAGAAGGGCATAAGATGGAACTTTTCACGCGTACGGCCTTCAACAAGGACATCCTCTGAATCAATCCCCTGCCACCTGAATGGAACTGAAACGTTTCAAATCACGGCGTTCACCCCCTCCTTCCAACAAATCTTGTTCCTAGATCTCAGTTGGTGGCTTTCACTTTAGCAAAAGCTAAAACGTGCAAAAATCCGTCCATCTCAGTCACTTCATGTTGATCCTTCCAAGGTGTAACCAACGTACTAGTGCTCTAAAGTGGCTTTTCTTGATCCTCTAGATGACGCATCTTACACATTTCCCTGTTCTCCCTCAGAAGTTGCTTCCGGCAACCTCTTCGACAGGCCCTTGGTGATATATACATTCATGCTCGCCGCTGCTGATCAAGTTCCTTGGCATCAAGGCAAGGTCAAACTGTCGGACAACGGGGGCATGCGAAAGAATGGCAAACAGAGTAGGGAAAGACAAGAATGAGAATATATACATATAGACATAGAAGAAGACGAATCGAGTCCCTGTGAGTCGTGTACGAGAACAGCCAGACGGCCGCCCCGATTCTTGCGGAAAGAGAATAACTTATGACACGGATAGGACCATCACGAGGTCAACCAGACAAGAACACGTCCAATAGTGAAAAAAATGAGAAAGATGAAGTAAAGGGATATCATCAGTCATAGCAAAGAGAAAGATGGCAGTCAAGAGGTAGAAAAACTTTTGACTTCGTTCACGTCGGTGGCATCATGGTCCAGGTTGCTGCATCGCAGTTCACTTCCTCGAAGCTATGCAGCATGCTGAAGCCCATTCCAGACAAACAATCGAAATTGCTGTCGCCATCAACCTGTAAAGATAATTTGTTAACATACTGCAGATCGAGATGCAAACTTAATGCGTGTGCCGCGAGAGCGAACGGAATACTTGGAACGATGGATAAAAATCGAATTTGAACTTACGCAGTCAATGACAACGGCCTCTGCACCTTGTCTCCGAGTTTGCTTGATGCCCAGCAATATGAGCCCCTGCATCACCGTAGCATACTCGCCAACAGACGGAGAGATCACTGGGGACGATATGCCTCCGCTCGACGATTGTGTGGCTCTCAGCACAGGCATGTACTCTGCCAATGGGGATCGTCCGTTGTATATCACCACAGTACCCAAAATTGCCCCATCGCTCGGCCGCGTGGCCCTGATTATGCCACAGTTTGGTGCTCCTCCCAAAGCGATCTTGTATATATCAATCAGACCTTGTCGAGAATTCGTCTTGATGTGATCAAGGATAGGCTCCGCGTAATCCCATCCATGAACAAGGTCGTAACAGACGTCAGCATTTTTCAATCCCTGTACGAGGCCATCAGGGGGCGTCCATGTTGGAAGATTTCGCAGCACCACACTGCAAACTGGTCGCGAAAGGGCAGTGTTCCAGCCCAAGTTGGCAAACCACTGGCGTAACCTCTTACGCTCCACTGGATTAGAAGACGGAATGCCTAGGTATATGCCTGGAAGTCGGGAACCCAGCTGAAACCTCCTCATTCCCTTTCGCTGAAGAAGTGTTCGGATTGCGCGGTTGTGCAGCGAGTTCCCAATCGACAATTTCCGTCTTGCAGGATCAACAATCAAAGATCCAATAACGCCTGTGCCCGTCGACCTAAAGAAATAAGTCGAGCAAAATCCGTACAAAGCCTGTGTACTGCTGTTTCGTACAACAAAATGCGCCTCATCAATTTCTTCTCTTCGTAATAAGAAGCTGCTGGATGTCACACCTAGCAGCTCAGAACGCTGACCCTGCGGGCAATCCGCTCTGACTGCATCAAGTAAAGTCTCCAAGGATTGAGCATCTCTCTCTTCATTCCAATTTTCCACAAGCCAGTGCTGCCGCGCTTGATGGAGCTTCTGGCTGCGGCTGATAGAACCCGGCAATGAGCCTTTTGGTGTCAATTCTCCATAGAGAACTTTGACCAACGCCTCCAAAGCGGTTTCTGTGAAATCATAAGTGCAGACATAGGTACCAATGGACGTATCCATGGCAAAATCATAGGGGGAACTAGCGGCGATGACGATCATAGGCTTCTCTCGCGGCTCTCCCGATGGAGTAAACTGAGACCTACAGATTAGAGAGACATGTTTCGTAAAGCCATGCTGGTATAGGTTCCTGTTTGCATCTGCGGTGACGACAATGACGGCACTAGCTCGATCTATCAAATTTTCGTGAATTGGTCGGACGCCATTCGCCGTGTAAGATGTATGTAGAACGCGGCCACTTCTTTGACGCGAGAGAGAACGCCCTAGTTCCTTGAAGACACTCTCACCGCTCAGCACAGAGGCGGTTCTATCTGAAGCAATCGGGTCGAGAGAGAGATTCATGTGCTCCGTCACCGAACGAGAGACTGCAGATGCGGGCAATGGCTTGACTAACGGAGTCAAAAGTAGCAATTCCTCATTAGGCTCAATGATGTTGGACAGCGGAAGCAGATTCTGCTTATCACGTACAACTGAAATAGAGCTGTTATAAGCCCTTTTGGAGAGGCTGGTATGAGATGGTTGCATCTGCATTAGAGATGGCAGCCCCGGCGGGTTCAGGGCTTGCTCCCAAGAGGTGCATTTCGCCTTCATCTTCAGAACCCTGCGCAAAGATTGCTCTATGCGAGCCCGACCAATGATGCCATTCTCCACCCCGAGCTTCAAACCATTGATCGCCTCCTGTTGCACCGGAAAGGATCTGCACAAGAGGATGATATCGCAGCCCGCATTCTTCGCCATCACTGTTCCGCCGCCGACACCGATATTGTGAGTGAGAGCCTCCATCTCTAAACACTCAGAAACCACCACACCATTGAATTTCAGATCTTTCCGCAGCAAATCATCGACTACCTGCTCACTTAAACAAGCATGCATGACATTTACGCCAGCAGACGACATAGAGACACCTCCCACCATCATCGAATCTAAACCGTGGACTATTGCATTGCGGAATGGGACCAGCGCTGTCAAGCTGAGCTGTTCCAACGACTCGGTGATGATGGGAACGTCTGCTTGAGATCCGAGGAATTCAAGGTTACCATAGGACGGAAAATGTTTGCCACAAGTCACTAATCCTGCTTTTTTGTAGCCTTTCATGAACTCAACGCCATATTGCGAAACCTCCTGGGGATCATCGCCGGTAGTGCGAGCGCCCAAAGGCTGGGTTCGTACGTTAGTCAACACGTCTAGTACAGGGCCCAGGATCCAGTTGACCCCTACGGCTTTGAGTTCTTGGGCCGTAGCGTAAGCGACATCATGAGCCAATGACTTTGAGCCGGTTGCTGCGATTCCCATTGCGCTGGGGAACTGTCGAATGTAGATTTCATCGTACAGGCTATTCACGCCGCCGTTTTCCTGATCCAAGGCGATAAGTAAAGGCACGGGATGGCCAGCATCTCGGGCGATTGTTTGTAGTTCAAGGACCAGCCGCGTTGCCTCTTCCGCAGCTGCTCGCGATTCGTTTTGTTAGCAAAGGGAAGGTAGAATCTCTTTGAAAAGTGGTCAATAAAGAGGTGCTCGAAGGGAAGAGAAAAATGATAGGAGTGACAATACATTTTAAGTTCTTGGCTGTTAACAGAACTGAGCCCAGATGGTAATTCTCGATAAGAGAGCGAATTTGAGGGTTGACTGACGTCCCGTCGAAGCCCATCATGAAGAGCTGCCCCATCTGCCTGTAAACAGGACGCAAGGGGGAAGACCAAACAGTCAGCCATTATTCAGTTGTCAAGCAAATTGTACGGACAGAGAAGTAAAACGGAAGGCCCAGAGAAAACATGATCAATTATGCTTGAGGACCAATCTAGACCATGGAATACTGTGAAGACGGGCAATTAAGAGGAAAACAACAAAACAACTGGCTGAGACATTTATTGCCTACCTGTCTAGATCCTCCCAGCCAGGGGGCAGCATATCCTCTTTCGGGGCCATCAGGGCCCTGGGTTGAGGAATGCAAGTGCAAAGCTGAAGGGAGTGGAGAGTAAGATGACCTGTCAAAGATTCCAGAGTGTTGTGGATGATGGAAATGGGCGTGGTGTTGTGCCACGATAACCGCAAACGTCGTCGGAAGCCGACTGGGAGTAACCAGACACGGCAATTGAATTAAGCTCCTGATGCTAAAATCCAACTGGCTGGTCCCCCAGGCGCCCGCGAGCTGGTGGTAATGTCAGGTAAGCTACCTTGCTAGTAGCTCATATTCTCAGCTTCGAAGCACTTTAGTTACCTCACGAGGCTAGGACGGTCGATAAGGTACAACCAAAATTATTGATTATGATTAGCGTGGCTCGGTCCTCCGTCGGCTTAATGCGGGCCAGATAATAGAGATGGCCTAGCACAGAAGATGACGGGGATGGGGATGGGGCACTCGGCGTAAGTTTCTCCAATGGTTACCGGTGGACTGCAAAATATTCGTACAGCCTTGCCTGACGGGGATGCCAGCAAACAACTGTGTGCGGTCTCCTAGTAAGAAATCGTCGGAGGAAAGGAGAGAACGCATTGATGGCCCATTGTTTTCCCTCAATCGAGACTCGTGTCACAATAATGGTTCTTGGCAAGGTTATGACTAAGAGTGCTTATCACGTGAGAGTTGAAGCTCCATTTGCCTTTCTCCACACTCTGTGCTGTACGAAATACAGTCCTCAAGGTTCCTTCATTCAATGCTGTAACATACAATACCTCAGATTTACAATACAGAACAGAGCAAATGTATGTGCGATTCAGTCCGTTACAGACAAGCCAGACTTTCGTGAATGAAACTGTATGCAACGGCACAGCCAGGCTACATAAGGTTGCACTCTTCCCCGGTTTTCCATCCGATGCCGAATGCAACAGTGGAGTCGTTCGTTTAAAAAGTAAGGAACACCTAATACATATCAGTAGTTTCTGACACTTCCCTATCAGAATATTTCTTTTGGATCGAGTCTACTATGGCGCCCAAGGTCACCTGTTTCGTCTGCCACCTCTTTTTGTAACGTCAGGTCGATCGCCAGTCAGATGGAACCTTTCTGTCCAACCTGCCTTATCATATCTTGCCTCTTATTGATAACCAAATAGTATTCACATTTCCTCATTCCCCTTCCCAATTGGTTACGCCTCTTGAGGCGTTGACATCACACTCAATGAATGGTGGTGCGTCATCTGCAGCAGTTGAACCGGACTCTTTCTTGTGCAGTACAAAGAATATGGGCGCAGAATTTTTAATTGAAAGTTCAGCAATAAATGGAAAGGTTGATTTTAGGAGCTTTGCTACGATGGCCCTGGTTCGTTGGCCGGTGTCATCAGTTCAGGAGGGCCATGAACAATCATACTTTGTAGTATTACGAGTTGGACGGGTGCTCGAGAAGAGGAAGTACCTTGTAGTAGTAATCTATACAATACAATATATCGAATCCGTCCGTAGGTGGGAGGTGTCATCCTGTCATACTCCACCAGCCGATCCAGATTGACAGGCTGAGTTGCAACAGATCCGTGGACGATGGGGCGAACATTAAAATCCTTCATAGCAAACGGCTACTTTATCAGCACCCTTCTTTGTCCAAGTTGACATACCTTTATATCTGATTTTCACACACACAGCGGGATAGATCCATTCTACTTTCCTGACCGCGAACGAAGCCTTTCTTGTCATAACCAGCTCTGATAGTACGGGTCTCAGCCCTGCCATCTTATCGGCCTTATCGGCTAAACTTTTCTAGAGGAGTGACGTACGACTACAGGTACAAACACCATGTAAGCATGCCTTCTACTTCTGCCTGCTGCCACTTTCATCGAGACGTCAAGAGGTGTTTTCAAGATGGGAGATGAAGAAAAAGAAAAAGAAAAAGAAGCCTTCTCTGTGCGTTCTGACACGTCTGTAGGAGAGTTATCATCAGGGAGAACGCTCAGCAGGCGTCGGAATATATCGCCGACTATATAATCAGTACGCGTAACCTTCCATCTAGTCGATGCGGCTTGCTTGGTTACATCTCTAACCCTTATTTTTCCACTACTCGATAGGTCGTATCAAGACTTTCAAACCCACTCAGGATCGCCCTTTCGTACTGGGTCTTCCCACTGGCAGCAGCCCCGAGATTATATACAAAAGACTTGTGCAACGTCACCGGGCAGGTGAAATATCTTTCAAAAATGTCGTGACGTTTAATATGGTATTTTTCCTCATTTATATTATCATGACTCTTTGTATCCTGCCCTATGCTGATCAACTCAGGACGAGTACGTGGGTTTACCTCGTGACCACCCCGAATCCTATCACAGCTTCATGTACAAGCACTTTTTCTCGCACGTCGACATTCCACCGCAAAATATCAACATCTTAAATGGCAACGCCCCAGACTTGACTGCCGAATGTGCTTCCTACGAAGCCCGCATCGCCGGCTATGGCGGCATCGAACTTTTCTTGGGCGGCGTCGGGGCTGATGGCCATATTGCCTTCAATGAGCCGGGATCCTCGTTGAGCAGTCGAACCAGGGTGAAGACATTGGCGTACGATACAATTCTCGCTAACTCGCGATTTTTCGGCAACGATCTTGACAAAGTTCCCCGCATGGCTTTGACGGTTGGCATTCAGACTATAATGGAGGCCAGGGAAGTGGTCATCGTGGCTACGGGCGCTCACAAAGCTTTTGCGTTGAAGAAGGGCCTCGAGGGTGGTGTTAATCACATGTGGACACTGTCAGCACTGCAGCTGCATCAACACCCGCTCATAGTTTGCGACAGCGATGCTACCTTGGAGTTGAAGGTCAAGACAGTCCGTTATTTCGAGTCAATCGAGCAGTCTGGAACAGACGCTCGTACGCAAGGCCCGCCACTTGTCTACCGACCAAGGACCTATGTGCCTGCTCCATTGGGGGCGAGCAAATTGCCGCAGCAGCTCACTCCCGCGTCAACACCTCCCAAAGCCCCGAAGGACCTGAGGATCAACACAGAGTTTCAAGGCTCAGTAGAGGAAGATGAATTGACACCTGACAGTATGTCTTCTCGACTGGTGGACTCCGCCATTGGCGGGTTGGACTCGACGCTCAAAGCCGACACGATGTTCGATCGGATGGGCGCGAGGGTTGTATCCCATTGAAGGGAGTCGCAAGCTTCGTGACTTAGATTTCTACAGTCTATTGGGAACAAAAATGTTGGGCAATACCGTGAGAGGATCCGCTATTGTCTGAGGCTCAAGGACTTAGGGCGGACATGCAGCAAACTTGTTCGCGGTGCGCCGTTGCGGACGACTGTTTATCATATTTTGAATTTCTTGTGTCGTATAGGCCGATGTTGCTTTCTTCATAGATGTATTTTTTCGCTTGGCATAGCAACTAGTTACTGCGTATAGAGTTGGCTCTTGATGATCGTTTCAGTTCGTGCTTGCTCTGTTGGTTTTTATATGTCCCGCCAATCTATTACTGTTGCAACGCCAGTATCAAGTACAAAGATAAGTTGATTGTATTGAGGCAGCTTATACGTAGAAGGCAAAATGAACAACAACACTGAAATTTTGGGATTTGAATAGATTTGTTGTGAGCTTTGCTACAAAATCCGTTTTCGATGTCTGCGAAGAGAATGATACAGTTCTTCTTGACCAAGATACTTGATACAAAGCTCCTTTGGTGGACGATTTGTACATTTTCATTCATTTTGGATTACAATTTCGCAAAGACAGTAGCAACCTGTCCATTCATATCCACCAGCGTACTCTTGTTCCTCACCCAAGCTTCGATACCTCTGCGGCCGTTCTCGACGCCAACACCACTCTTCTTCCAGCCACCCACAGCCATCTCGGCAGGGCTTTCACCCCAGGTGTTGATCCATGTAATGCCTGCTTGGAGCTGGTCGATGATACGATGCGCCATATTCAGGTCTCGCGTAAAGACGCCAGCCGCAAGGCCAAGCTCAGTGTTATTCGCACGCTTAACGGCTTCTGCCACTGTGTCGTAGTACAGAATCGACATGACCGGCCCAAAAATCTCTTCCTGGACAATCCGCATGGAATCGGTGCAGTCCGTGAAGACAGTTGGCCGCACCCAGAACCCATTCTCCAATCCCTTTGGAAGGGAAGGCTTTCCCAGCCCACCATAGAGGAGCGTTGCCTTGTCCGTCTCAATGCCATGACGAATGTACGAGGTTACCTTTTCGAGGTGAAGCGCGGAACTCAAGGGCCCGAAGTTGGTTGCGTTGTCAAACAAAGGCCCGGGGCGGATATATTGCATTTTGCCCAGAAGAGCCTTCTCAAAAGCAGACTTCATGTTTCTTGGGACGAACACCCGAGTCCCATTAGTGCAAACCTGGCCAGTACTAAAGAAATTGGCCATCATAGCTCCATTTACTGCATTCTCAAGGTCCGCATCAGGTAGGATGAGCAACGGGCTCTTGCCTCCTAGCTCCATCGTGACGTACTTCATTTGTCCGGCGGCCGAGCCGGCCACCTTCATTCCTGTTGACACCTGGCCCGTGAAGCTGACCTTGGCGATCAGGGGGTGAGTGGTCAAATAAGCACCCATATCCCCTGCGCCATAGACAACATTGAAGACCCCAGGGGGAAGTCCAGCTTCCCGGTAGATCTCAGCCAGCATCTGAGCATGAAGGGGCGTATATTCACTAGGCTTGTAGACCATGGTATTTCCAGCCGCAAGGCATGGTGCTGATTTCCAGAGAGCACTGTGTCACATTTGTCAATTGCTAAGCTCGGGTCGAGAAAAGAGAGACCAGCAGACGTGATAGGTTTTGCGCGCGTCTGATCAAGAACAATGAAGTACTTACATCTGGAGAGGATAATTCCATGCGCCAATGCCAACGCAGACTCCCAGCGGAGCCTTCTTGGTGAAGACCCATGCATCTTCTCTCAACTGTGTCGTCTCGCCATTGAGACCGCCTCCTCCTACCAGGTTGGCATAGTATTCCAGTACATCTGCACCAGTCACGATGTCGACTGTGCTTGTCTCCGA